CGGGTGGGGGGGCCGGGGGCCCCCCCCCCCCACGGACCCCCTGAGACCTTTCAGGATTGCTCTGGACCTTCCCCAGGATCGTCCTGGACTTTCCCTCAGGGACCCCCTTCAGGATCCCCTAACCTCTTTGGGGTCCCACTGGAAACTCCTGGACTCCCCCAGGATCATCCTGGACCCTCCCACCTCAGGATCATCCTGGATTTCTCCTTGGGGATCCCCCTCAGGATCCTCAGACCTCTTTGGGACATTCCTCGGGATGGTCCTGAAAATGCCATGACCACTCAGGGACCCTCCTCAGGACCCCCTGATCCCCTCCAGGATTGTCCACCATCCCCCCCAGGACCCTCCTGTTCCCCAGAGACCCCTCCTGACCCCTCTTCCCACCCTCCACATCCACTCGGGACTCCCCCGTTCCCCTTAGATCCCCCCACCTACTTTTCTGTATGAAACCCCCCAATAAAAGTTAAACCCAAACCGTGTTGTGTGATTGGCCGAGGCCCCCCCCGGGGCGGCTCAGCCCACGCAGGGGGGGATTGAGGGGGATTTAGGGCTGAGCCAGGGCCGGGGGGGGCCGTGGGGGACTTCCCAGAGCTTCCCGGGAAGAGCCGAGAGGCCCCAGGAGCCACCAGAGGGGTTGGGGGGCTGCGGGGAGGGAGGGGGGACACCCCCAGCTGACCTCTGGGTGTCCCCCGGGTGTCCCCGAGGGGGACAGAGGTGTCCTGGGGGGTTTCCCCTCGGGCCATGGTGCCCTGATTCATCATGGAATTCAACAAGGAGGAATTCCGGCGCCAGCTGGGGGCTGGGCTGGGCCGCCTGCACAGGTGAGACCCCAAATCTGGGGGCACAGGGACATTGTGGAGGGTCTGGGGGGGGTCAGGATTGGGGGGGTGGGTTGGGATGGGGTGTGGCTGTGGTTTTGTCACCCCTCTGTGACAAGAGCCTGAGCGGAATTTGGGGTCAGGCCATTTGGGGGGTGGCTTTTGAGGGAGTTTGGGGTGTCCTGCACACGTGTGTGTCCCCCCCCACCAAGCCCACGCGTGTCCGTGCCACGCGTGTCCCCGTCCCTGTCCTCTTCCCCTCCCCGGCGCCACCACCACGGGGGATTTAGAGCCTTTAATCTGCTGCCACCGCCGCCGCGGGGGGGTCCCGGGGGAACCTGGGGACACAGCGGGGGGGAAAAGGACATGGGGGTGTGGGACTGGGGTGAGCAGAGCCCTCCGCTGGCCTCTGCAGGTTCCTGGAGCGGCGCCAGGATGACCCCGAGAGCCTGGAGCTGAGCTCGGGGGGGGCCACCCCAACCCCACCGCGTCCCCCCGTGCTGGACTGCACGTTCTGTGGGCTGCCCCGGCGCTACGGGATCGCCATCCTGTGCGGGATCGGCTTCTGCATCAGCTTCGGCATCCGCTGCAACCTGGGCGTGGCTGTGGTCAGCATGGTCAACCCCAGCCACGGACAGGTACGGGGGCAGCAGGGACACAGACTGCCCACAGACAGGGGACATCAGGGATTGCTGGGATCCAGGTATGGGGCCTGGGCACGTAAGGGGGCAGCAGGGCCAAGGAACAGGTGTGGAGTCCCTGGGGGGGCACAGCTCTGGGATGTCTGTGGGAAAAGGGACACAGACAGGTGTGGGGGACACGCACCTGGACAGGGCGTGTCCCCCGACCCTACTGACCCCTCCCCTGGGTGTCCCCCAGCATGCCCAGTTCAACTGGGACCCCGAGACAGTGGGGATGATCCACGGCTCCTTCTTCTGGGGCTACATTGTCACCCAGATCCCCGGTGGCTTCATCGCCCAGAAATTCGCTGCCAACAGGTCAGTGGTGGCCCTGAAGTGGGGGGCGGCCCTGAAGTGGAGGGTGGCCCTGAGAGTGTCGCTGTCACCTCCGTGCCTCTCTGCAGGGTGTTCGGGCTGGCCATCGTGTCCACCTCGGTGCTGAATATGCTGATCCCGTCGGCCGCGCGCACCCACGTCGGCTGTGTCATCGCCGTGCGCGTCATGCAGGGGCTGGTCGAGGTCAGGGCGGGGCGTTTTTGGGGGGCTTCAGGTGTTTTCAGGTGTTTGGGGAGATTATCTGGAGAGTTTTGGTGCGTTGGGGGGTTTTGGAGGTGTTTTGGGGTGTGTAGGAGGGAGCTGGAGTGGGTTTGGAGGTTTTCCGGTGACTTTGGGGTGTTTTGGGACATTTCATGTTGATTCTGGGGCATTTGGGGTGGGTTTTGTTCAGCTGGTGAGGTTGGGGTCTGGACATCCCCACACTCTCACTGGCCAGGGCATGGCCAGGGCGTGGCTGGGGTGGGTGTGACCCTTGTAGCCCGTGGCCCCGATGCCCAGCAGGGTGTGGCTGTGTGGGCGTTGTCTTTGTGGGCGCGGCCCGCGACGATCCCGCCCCTTTCCGGCAGGGTGTGACCTATCCCGCCTGTCACGGCATCTGGAGCAAGTGGGCACCGCCCCTGGAGCGGAGCCGCCTGGCCACCACGGCTTTCTGCGGTATCAGGGCTACCGATGGGCTCAGGGGGGCTACTGGGGGGCTACAGGGCCACCACGGCCTTTGGGAGAACGGGGGGGATGTGGCACTGGACCTGGGGGTGTCAGGAACCCAAGGTGGGGTAGAGGGACACCTCCCCACCCCCGGTAATCGGGGTCTGACAGGGTGGGAGCGGCACATAGGGATCCCAGGGCTTGCTGAGTGGTGTGGGGCTGGATGGAAGCGGCGGTCCTGGGGTGTCACTGCTTGTCCCCGGGTGTCCCTGGTCACCGCTGTCCCCCCGGCAGGCTCGTACGCGGGGGCGGTGGTGGCCATGCCGCTGGCCGGGGTCCTGGTGCAATACACGGGGTGGAGCTCGGTGTTCTACGTCTACGGTGAGACCCCCACCCCCCCGGGACTCCCTGAGCCCCCTGTTCCCCCCCCGGGGTCCTCGGGATCCCCTGAGACCCCCTGAGCCCCCTTAACCCCCCTCCCCGGGACCCCAGACCCCCTCAGGGACCCCTCCCAGTGCCCCTGGTGACCCCAGTGCCCCCCCAGGCAGTTTCGGGGTGTTCTGGTACCTCTTCTGGGTGCTGGTGTCCTACGAGAGCCCTGCCCAGCACCCCACGATCTCCCCCGAGGAGCGCAAATACATCGAGGAGAGCATCGGCGAGAGCGTGGGCAGCAACCCGCTGCTGGTCAGACTGGGAGCACTGGGATGGGCACTGGGGGTCACTGGGGGCATTACTACCACTACTGGTCAGACTGGGAGCACTGGGACAGGCACTGGGAGGCACTGAGGGGGGTCACTGGGGGTCAAGGGTCATTGGGGGGTCACAGAAGGGTCACTGGGGCCACTAAAAGGTCACTGTGACCACCGCACTTGGGGCCACCAAGGGCACAAACAAGGTCCGGGTGCTTCATCCCGTGGGAATTGCGGCCGGACCCGGACCGGAGGTGGCATGGGGGTCACTCCTGCTGGTCAGCTGGTCAGTGGCCACTCCCTTTCCACAGCTGGCCACGCCCTGGCGCCACTTCTTCACCTCGATGCCGGTCTATGCCATCATTGTGGCCAACTTCTGTCGCAGCTGGACCTTCTACCTGCTGCTCATCAGCCAGCCAGCCTATTTCGAGGAGGTCTTTGGCTTTGAAATCAGCAAGGTCGAGCGCCAAAACCCCCACAAAACACCCCAAAAACCCCCACAAAAAAAATCCACCAAAACCTCCCCCCCAAAGTCCCCCAAAATTCCAAAATCCCCTCAAACCCCTGTGCAGGTGGGGCTGCTGTCGGCGCTGCCGCACCTAGTGATGACCATCGTGGTGCCCATTGGGGGCCAGATCGCCGATTTCCTGCGCTCCCGGGGGCTCATGTCCACCACCAACGTCCGCAAGATGATGAACTGCGGCGGTCAGAGAGGGGACAGGAGGGGACATCAGGGGGGACATGGGGGGGACAGCAGGTGACAATGTCCCCCCCACAGGGTTTGGCATGGAAGCCACTCTGCTGCTGGTCGTGGGCTACTCCCACTCCCGGGCCGTGGCCATCTCCTTCCTGGTGCTGGCTGTGGGCTTCAGTGGCTTCGCCATCTCTGGTGGGGACAGGGAACAGAGGTACGGGGGGTGGGGACAGCAGGGGACACACGCGTGACACCCCTGTCCCCCTCCCAGGCTTCAATGTGAACCACCTGGACATCGCCCCACGCTACGCCAGCGTTCTCATGGGGCTGTCCAACGGCGTGGGGACACTTTCCGGCATGGTGTGTCCCCTCATCGTGGGGGCACTCACACGCCACAAGGTGCGGGGACAACACGGTGGGACAGTGGGGGGCTTGGGGGCAGCAGAAGCCAGGGAGAGACAGTGAGACATGGGGGAACAGTGGGACATGGGGGGACAGTGGGGTCAGAGGGGACAGTGGGACATGAGGGGACAGTGGGACATGGGGGGACAGTGGGACATGAGGGGACAGTGGGACATGCGGGGGGACAGTGGGGCATGGGGGGACAGTGGGACATGAGGGGACAGTGGGACATGGGG